CCGTGGATCGAACGATGGTCCGTGCTGGTCAACCGTATTTTGTGTCAGAGGCTAGGTAGGTGAAGTCTCGATCCACGGACACAGACCACGGACCGTGGTCTGATCTACGGACCGTGGGTCTGTCTGTGAGTCGGGACTTAGCCAATTTTCTGAGCTGGGTCTGGGAGGGGTTACAGTGGTGAACCACAGACCACCAGCACGGGCCGTGGTCTGACCTACGGTCTGTGGATGGTGACCGTAAGTTGCACCTTCAACTTTTCGAAATCTGTATTTTTGGTCTGTTTCGAATACGGGGTGTTACAACTGTTGAGCGTGATCAGATTCAAGGGTGATCCAGTTCTTTCAGGATGCCATGGATCTTTCTTGTTTAAGTCCACTCTTTTCAGACTCAGACTATTTGTTTAAGGTGTTTCTTTAGTTTCGGGGTTGTAACCCTTTGTTCTTAGACTTGTCGTTAGTAGAGTTTTGGTACAATGACTTTCAGGTTCTAGGGGTTGTTCTTCCGCATTAGTTTGTTTAGTTGTTTGTTAAAACCTTGGAGTTTATGGAGACTCCATTTTTATAGGCATTTAAACGTGCTTCTGTATCTTTAAATGCCTTAGGTTTCATAAAATTTGTATTGTTTGGGTTGTAGTAATGGTTCTCCCACCGGAGGGTTTGTGTGGATGCCAATCACGACGGTCTGGGTTGTGATAATGAATATGACATGAAAACCATTTAAGCGTTACAATATAATAAACAATGAAAGCAACATGAAAATAATATACTTTACTTGTGGGGAGTTTCTCTAACCGACAAGAATTACCATGAGCCTAGCATTGTACAACGTTTCGCCTATGTTGCCAGGGCCATCTTGTACTTTGTCGGGGTATAGGATGATATCGTGACTATGGATCCATATGATTGGCCTTCTCATGGGAAAAGATGAGTCGGGTGAAGAATCAATGCTACCCTATCCTACGCTAGCTACGTAGTTTGATGGGACTTCCGAATCATAACAGACTCTAACCCAACTCTGTGTTGGATACTACTCCCAAAATAAGTGATATAACTTTATGCTCAATTCCCCCATTACAAAGAATGAACTTCTTACATTATTTGAAATACTTTTCAAAACATGACACATGTTTACATTCTTGAAAACATGCACTTATGAACTTATCATTGAAGTCCAATAATAAACATAGGTACATATTTATAAATGACATGTGAAACTTTTAACTGTTTATGAAATATAACTTTTGAAATTTCCTCTTATCTTACGTTAATTTAAAATGTAAATGAAGACATGTGAATGTGACATGAAGACTTTCTCAAGGATTAACGAAGACTTTAGAAGTAAAAATCAAGAAGAAAAAATAGGTATGATTCGAAAGAACACATACATAATGAAGGACGGAAGAGAAAAGGTCATGTGACCCTGACGTATCGATGGTGTGACGCGGAGAGGGAAATAAAGTTTTGGTGACGGAAAGAATTTTGTGGCAGAAGACTTTGTATCCTCTCGGCATCGCGGAAAGGGGGTGATCGGTTGGATATGGAAATTTCATGCATCTTCGCGACGTGGCCCTGGACTCAAATAGTTGGCCGATTTCTTTCTTCCTCTTCCAAACTAACTTTAATTAAAAAACCCAATGCAACTTAATTGAAATCCCACTCCGATTTTATCAACAAACACCACTCATTCGCAATACCCTCACCTCAAGAACTCAAAACCTCAATTGTTAAAGAATGGGGTTAAAACTCAAGAACTCTTCAATAATACTTACATAAAAATTTCATGGACAATTTAATGAAAGATTCACATGATTGGTGTGAGGGAAAGCAAATCTGTCACTATGAGAAACATCACATACTTTGAAGAACAATGTTCTTGAAGAGACTTGAAGGAAAATCTTGGAAGATGAACCCTAGCCTTAACAGTTTTTGAAGTTCCTGAGTGTAGAATTTAGATGTGAATCAGAGGGTTTAATTTTGAAAAATGATTTTTCTACGAGTTTTGGGTAATTTAGATGACTTACCAAGGGTTTTTAGGATTATAGTACCATTAAAAAATAATAAAACTAGCTGGAATTCGGCATAATTTTCCAGCAGACTGTGAGGTCGGTATTCGCTCTGTAACGCGGAGCCATCACAGGGTTGTTGCAAGGTTAGAGCGTCTCCAGTAAATCAGTCATATCTTTTTAATCAAAACTCAGATTGAGGCAAACTTGGTGGCGTTGGAAAGAAATCTCAAAGACCTTCGATTTCATACCTCATGGGCCACGTAACTCTTTATGTTCTAAAAGCTATGGTAGTTTGAAGTTGACCCAAAACTTGAAAACTGACCAAATTTCAAGGTGCTACAATATCTCCTCCTTAGGAACATTCATCCTCGAATGAGATCGCACTAAGTTGAATAAGGGGGGAAAGCATTTAACCACCCTAACTCAAGCACATAACATGCAATATACATAACTCAATATATCAACTTAAAGAGTACTTTACAAAGAGTAAGTACCATGGTTAGAAATTTCTTCGGAACGAAAGAGATGTGGGTGTCTCCTCTTCATATCTTCCTCAGCCTCCCAAGTAGCTTCCTCAACATATTGATTACTCCATAAGAACTTGGCTGATGCAACCTCTTTGGTTCTCAATTTGTTAATCTGACGATCAAGAATCTGAACTGGAACCTTCTCATAAGATAGGTTGTCCTTGATACCAATATTCTCAATAGGTACAATGAGTGAAGGATCACTCAAAAACTTCTTTAACATGGATACATGGAACACCAGATGAATTACTGCTAATTCTGAAGGCATCTCCAACTCATAAGCTACCTTGTACACCCTCTTGGATATCCTATAAGGACCAATATACTAGGGACTGAGTTTTCCCTTCTTACAAAATCTCATAACACCCTTCATGGGTGAAATATTAAAGTAGAACCAATCATCAACCTCAAATTCTAAGTCTCTTCTCCTAACATTTGTATAGGATTTCTGAAGACTCTGTGTTGTTTTTAGCCTTTCCTGAATAATATTCACCTTCTACATGGTTTGATTAACCAAGTTTTGCCCTATCAACTCAACTTCACTAAATTCAAACCAACCAATAGGCGATCTGTTCTTTTGCCCATAAAAAACCTCATAAGGAGCCATCTGGATACTAGAGTGATACCTATTGTTATATGCGAACTCTATGAAAGGAAAGTGATCAGCCCATTTACCTTTGATGTCTATGACACATTCCCTCAATATATCTTCTAAGGTATGAATTGTGCGCTCTGTTTTACCATCAGTGTTCCTTAGTGCAGTGCACTAGCAGATGATGGAGCAGGTCCATTTGTCTTTTGTTGAAAAGATGATCGGTTCGCATTGCTCTTCTGCTGCCTGAACTCATTTCGTTGTCTTAGCCTTCTTGTTCTGGAACTCTTCTCTATCTCTCAGCTTATCCTCCTCAACATGTTGCACATGGATCATAAGCCTTGCTATGTTTGTCTCTATTACCAGTATAGTTGTCTTACCCTCGTTACCTGACAAGCGACAACCCAGATAAAAATAGACTGATCCTGCTCGTCCTGTCAGCAACCATCTGCGGAGAATATCGGGACAATTGAGTGAACTTGAGGCTATACTCATGGATTCCTACTTCAAGTTAAGGAATTATCTTAACTTTGCTTCCCTCAGCTCATGGGGAAATAAATGCCCTCAAGAAGGCCTCATCGAACACAGCCCAGCTCACAATTAGTGCACCATCAGCTCTACTCTTCTTCCACTGGTCGTACCAAACTCTAGCAACACCCTTCAATTGGTATGCAGCTAGTTCCACATGATCAACATTGGCAACATGCATCACCTCAAACACTTTCTGCAACTCTTCCATAATGTTTTTCAAGATCCTAATGACACTTGAACCGGTAAAGTTTAGAGGATTCATCCTTAAGAACTCACAGATTCTAGATGTATCAGCCACATTCTATAGAACCCCTCTTTGTTGCCCAGCTTAGTTGGTCACAAATTGACTCAACATCCGGATGTCATCCCAGAACTCAACAATAGTGACCTCTCCTTGGGGTTGTACTTCTGGTGCATTCGGGACCCCTTGATCCTAGGGATCAACATTCCTCCTAGCAGGATGACCTCTAACAAATCTTCTTGGAAGCATGATCTGAAAGATACGCGTAAGCAAGAATTTGAAGAAAAACTGTATAGATTGAACTCTATCGCACGAAAGGAGTATGAAAGAAGTGAGATATTTCCTAAATGTCGTTGCCTCTTAATTACAGATGTGGCGCACTTCACACCAATACTAAGACTCTATAGAAATAGCTTCATAAAAACCCTATGACTCTTGAAATCGGTGCTCTGATACCAAGTTTTACACACCCCGAGCCTACACCTTGAATGTAACTGGCACTCGAGAAATATTGTTAGCCCCAACCGAACCATAAGTCTGGCTTAATACTCCACGGAAGACTTACTCAACAATATATGAACTCAGTTGCAAAGAGTTAACTCAACTGTCTCAAATAAATAACTCAGAATATATAAGAATATTCAGCTAGCCAGAAATAGGCAACTCTAGTCATTGAAACATTGAACAAAAGAAATGGAAAAACCTCCTCAAAACACAACTATCTATGAAGCCTCTAATGATAACGATGGAAGTTGGGACTAGATCCACGACTTCCTAACAAAACTGAATAACTAAATGGGAATCCTCCAGAAGAAAGGATGCTCACCAAAGCAACTTTGGAACTGCAAGTGGTATCAACAGTGCGCCTGTTGATGACCCTGAACTCCTATATCTGCATCATAAAAGATGCAGTCCAAATGGCGTCAGTACATAGAATGTACGAGCATGCAAGGAAGAACATACTCACCTCATCTCAACTCAAAGATACTCAAGGATGCTCAAAGGTACTTAAAGATACACAAAGATGCATTATAAAGAAAGCTTTTAAAATAGTATATAACAACTCATATGTATTAAAAAATACAATAATAAACTCTTTTACTCTTATTTAGGAGATTCTCTTACCGATAACCATTACTATGAGCTATGTGATGATACAACATCTCACCCACGCTGGCGGAAGTGTCCTATAACTTGACAGAGTGTAAGACATCTTCAATTTAGTGAATCCACTAAGTTAGGCTGAAAACTAATAAGGAATCATCTAAAAAGTAATACCCTTTACCCATGTTGTCATACATGGTTTATGAGGACTTCGAGTTGTCTCAACTCATCTCAATATCGGTGCTCAATACTACTCCCAGTGATATAAATCATGCTCATATGTTTAAGAATATTTCCTCATCCTCAAACTTTAAGATATTTACTCAAAAGGTTCTCTTAAAAGAGATAGTGCTCAAAAACTCCTCATGAACTCATTTGGGTATCGAAGTTCCCTCCCATTTTAAATGTAAAGTCATTTACTCTTGGGATTAATTAGTTCCCATATATTCATTTTGAAAAATGAAACTCAACTCTCCTCATCCTCATACTCAAGTCTTAAAACAAGTTTTAAAAGTTGGTAAAAGACTCGAAAGGCTCTCTCAAACTTGACTCTTAATCTTTTCTTGAATTTCAATTATAAATTCAAGAGTTACGATTCATGATGTGAAGGATCTCGTGATGATTAAATGTAGTTTATATCGCTAGGATTAAGAAAGGAATGAAAGCTCGACTCAAAGAAACAAGTACGGAACGAAACCGATGAAGAGAGAGGTCTGACACTTTGCGGCGCCCCTCGCTAGGCCTCCCCTTAGTGGGGCTAGTTTCTGGCGCACTGCTAGCACCCCACGCCAGACCTGCTGGCGCATCAGGGGTGTGGCACCCCAACATGTTTCTAGAACATCCCGACAAATTTTTCTTCTCGATTTTTGGCCTTAATTTACCTAGAATCGGATGGTTTCTTCCAAACTCTATTAGATTTGAATACCCAACATAAGTACAAAAAAACCAACTAAAAAAAACACTCAAACTCATAACATGTATCTCAAGAACTCATCAAAAACCCATCATTAACAATTTAAGAATGAAACTTCAAAAAACTCATCAAGAATATCAATACAAGGATTGTCATGGAAGAAATTAACTCAAGAAACTTATGATTGGCGTGAGGGTGAACGGACCCATCACTATGAAAGCTTACATACCTCGTAAGGATCAAATTAACATTTAAACTAGAAATTATGGAGGTGAACGTGAGGGTGAACGGACCCATCAAAGGTCTTCCAGTACTTGGAGGCCTGGCGCTCTGCTCCAGCAGTGCGCCAGGGTTGTCAGCCCCTTTTCTCCTCTATTTTTCGTACAGTGTGTGTTCTTTCAAATTGTGTTTTGGCTATTTTCTTGATATTAATTATTTAACTCTTCATTAATTCTTGAGAGATCCTCCATATCGTAATTACATCTCTCAATTTACATTTCAAATTAAAGTAAAGTTAAGAGGAAAGTTCAAGAGGTCTTTTTGAGTCAAAGTTGAGAACTCTTTTGCAATCAACTATAGTTTTGAACTAAGTCCTTGAGTTTAGAGTTGTCTATATTTTTATTGAGGTCCTTGAGTTGATTCGTTCATGTCTATAACTCAACATGAACTCTATTTTGAGTTATAAATCTTGAAAATCCTTTAAAGCCAAAATTTATGTTTTAAACTGAGTTCTTTGAGGAAAGTTTAAATAGACAATTTTGAGTAAAGTTTAAGGAAACTATGTATTCCCAAATGTATCATTTTTCCATTGAGAAAAGAGAAACTTCGATTTCTAGAAAAAGTTTATGAGTTTAAAGATATTTCAAGAACAATTACTTATGTTAAGAGGATAGTTTGAGGAATTATCTCAAACCAGAGAAATAGTATGTTTTAATACATTGAGGATAAAGTTATATTGATTATTTTGGGAGTAGTATCGAGCACCGAATTGGGTTAGAGTTTTATATTTGGAAATCCCATAAGACTACGTAGCCACTGTAGGATAGGATAGCATTGATTCTTCATGTGACTCCTTTCTGCCTCAAAGAAGGCCTATTAGATGGATCCATAGTCACAATATCATCCTGTACCCCGACAAGGTATATGATGACCCTTCCAACGTGGGTGAAATATTGTTTCATTGCTAGGCCAATAATAATAGTTGTCGGTTAGAGAAATTCCCCACAAGTATTGTATAATAAATTTTTTATATTGTTTCTATATTCTATATTGTTGTAAATTTAAATATTTTTACTTCATGTTCATGTATTGATTGAGTTGAGTGTTATCAGCATTTCAGTTCAGTCATCTACGCTTTCAGTTCTCCTTGCATACTCGTACATTCAATGTATTGATGTCATTCGACCTACACCCTTTTATGATACAGATACAAGTGTTTCGGATTATCAACAGACGCTTTGTTGAGATCACTCTACACTCCAGTTAGCTTTTAGGTGAACCTCGCATTTTCTTTCAGTGTAGTAGTTTCGAGATGTCGTGGGTCTTGGCCCGATATCTTTCTTTAATAGCAGAGGCTTCATAAATAGTTATAGTTGAGGAGTCATTCTGTATTTACTTTCTTTTGAGTCATTTTAGAAAATATAAATCTTGTTATTGAATACTTTCCAGACTTTATGAAGTTTAGTATTTGAGTTTTAATGAATTTAATTCAATTTTAAGCCTATTATTGCTCAAATTATTTTTCCGCTTGTAGTCAGCCAGGATGAAGGTTTGCTTGGGGACTATCAATGGTTCTTGAGTGTTGGCCACACCCAGGGTCTAGGATCGGATCGTGACATCAACCATATATGAAGTTAATCAAAATTAAGAGCACAAATATTTTCAAATCTTTGTTTGTGGTGCTTTGGGGGTGGGGTGGAGTTGTAAGCGCTTATGGTGAAAATATAGTGTTTAAATTTTTTTCCATGAATTATGGCATCCCAAATCAAATATAAATTTTCGATATATACTATTTTTAAAGAAATTTGGTCAACTTTTATATTTTCTGATAGACTTTAATTATAAGAATTTGATATATTTTGTATGCCATAGATATCCAAATGTTCTATTGTGTGTTCATACCATAACACAATAACTAGAAAGATTATAACCAATTTACCATATTTATCATGCAGTCCTTTTGGTTTGTTAGAATTAATGTTTAGATTAGATTGTCATATATTAAATTTAAGACATTGAGTAATAACTATGTATTTTATAGTATTTTATTAATAATTAATTAAAACTATAAGTGAAATATGATGGAAATTATGGTAATCCCAATTAGACACAAATATTCATTATAAAAATTGTGGAAAATGTAATTCATTTCACTTTTTTCCATTACAGACTTTCTTGTGAAAGATATGAGTGTTTTCATTTAAATATTCTCCTCTCTTTTTATGAACTTTAGAAATACAATAATTTTTATATTTACACACACATCTTTCCTCTTAAAATCTTCAAAATTAATTTTTTTTTCGTGATTTTTTATCAGGACGGCAAAATTCATTTGGCAAATGAGTTTATCCATGGGTACAAGCAACAATGTTCAAGGTAAACTCATCAACACTAGCTTTTAAAATTATTGTAGGCTACATTTTTTATATTATAAAATTCTTATAAGTTATGGAACTAATGTTAAGGTTTCATTTTGTGGTATTGTATTCTAGTTTATTTATTATAAAATCTTGAAAATTATTTAACTATTTTTTTAAAAAAAACACACATTTGTCTAGTAAAATTTCGTCAACTATGTGAGATTTAGGTTCTAAGGGTTTAAGATTTCTTAATGGGTGATGATAATAGTCTTCTTCCCCTTTTAAATGAGAATGAATCTTTAGATCTTAAATTGTCAACCAAAAGTTGTTATATAGAGATGAGTAAACTTTAATCAAATCACGTAATTCAA